AACTAACCTAAAAATTATTACAAAATTATGAAATTAATTCATGGGGACCCTAAACCATTCATCTAATCATCCTAAAAAGATTGAATCGAAAATCCTAAGGGAACTGTCCTAATTAAATTCTACAAGATAGCATACCAACTAAAAGAATTAAAAAAAAGCAATTAAAAGTAAAAATGCACAAAAAATATAAAACTGAAAAAAAAAATGGCTATTTTATATTTTTATATTTTTCTAGACAGAAAATGAAAATTGGGAAAAAAAGTTGCATTGAAAAATATTCATTTTTTATTTTGTTATGATTTTTTGAAGTGAAAAGAAATTTGAATAAAAAATTAAATGAGAATTGGATGAGGGGTGTGGAAAGCAGTAATATTATGTTGAAAATGATAATGGGCCCAGGAGGGGGGTGCGCCTAGCATGGCGCGCCTGGGCCCAGCTCTCATCAGAAAAAACTGAAGAAAAAAAAAGTAAAGGAAAAAGGAACAGAAACGGTGCATATAGCAGTTTTTCAATACAAAGCAAGATGGGCTTGGACAAATGGCGGGGGGGGGGGGGGGGGGATAGCACTTTCACGCTAAGCCCAGCTGATGCATTAGTTGAAACGCTGTGTTTTGCAGCTGCAGCTCCCTCCAAAACGCGAACGAATCCTGGCCCTTGGATTGCAGTCCCGGTCAACAGTCAAGGCGCGATCGTACGATGCCTGTATTATCTTCAACCTTAGATCATTAGGGTTTGTAGTAAAACTTGCCATGGATGAAGCTTCATGCGTACAACTTCTGGCAACCCGTTCTATCTCGTTTCTCAACCAAATTCGAAACTTCAAAAAGCAAACATGCTCCATTTTCCAAGCAGAATACAACCATGTGCTTAGTTTCCATTGAAACCACCTAGAACTAGAAACCCGATAGCACCATTCTCCAACAACACTCAAACTTCGACCTTCTTAAACCTCCAATTTCTTGATATCAGAATACTCACCGCATGTCCCTGATCATCCTAAGCTTATGCACGTGGATTAATACTCATTACAACTCCAGTTCTTGATCCATAAAGTAAACATGTCAGATTTTCGACCTCCATAGAATGCACTCAAACCTTCCAAATTTGTTCTCCTATTGGTCTCTAATACAACTATCCTAACCATTCTATCTAACAATGCATAATTAAGGAGTTTCAAGAGCTTTTGCAAACCTTGTGGGTGGCTATGGCAGAAGTAGTTATCCCTCGATTCAATGCTTGAAACTTGCCACGATGGATCTTTGATTGATGATAAAAGTTCTGTATGCAAAAAGATTGATGGATAATGCTTGTATCTTGATCTTGAGTGAGATTTGCTTTTCTTGCACTTTCACCACCAAAGCTTCAATCTTCCATGGATCAACCTTCAACTCAGTATGCAAATGCTCATCATGATCCAGAGAATGTGTTTGTGGAGAAGAAAAAGAATGAAAATGGAGAAGAATAGAGATTTGATCTTGAATTGCAAAATGGAAGAAATTTGGTCAATTCTCTCTTTTTTGCACTATGAACATCAACAATCACCAACCTTGAATCAATGGGCTTTGCCATCAATATATAGACATGTTTAGAAAGATCTAGAATCATCTAGATCACTCTAGATGGAACTTGAAGTTTCTAGGATGTGGTATTTGCATTTTCATTCTCACCACATGAGATATATCATGACAAAATCCCATAACATGAGTAATTAGCTTGATTTTCTCCTTAGGTGGTATTTTGTACAATATGCAATGCTTAAACACCTTGTTTATTAAGCTTTCCTTTGATTTGGCTAGGTACCCCATTATGCAAGTAAGACTTTTACAAAGCAACTCCAAAATTTAAGCCCCAAATCAAAATTGTGGCTGAACCATTGTTCTTAAAATATCCTTTGGAGTCAAAATGACCTATCATATTCCATGGTTAGGGTTTATAGCTTGGATTTTATGATTTTCCATTTCACTTGGATTAACTTATGTCCCTTTTTTAGGCCATTTTCATCACTTTTTGCTATGAGCCTTTCCAACATCTCATGACCACCCTACTAGCCTTAAAACATCATTCTAAGAAACTTTGATGTTGAAAGTTTTTCCATTTGAAGCTTGGAAGTAGGAGATATGGCCATATGCTTGAAATGACCTATAAGTTCAGAATGACCAAAATGCCCTTGGCTTGTCAAAGCCATAAGTTGAGTTCTACAAATCCTATCAAGGACTTCTAGTACTCTATAGAAAGATAAGAATATGCTCTTCAACATTAATGTTGACCAAGAGATCATAGGAATCATCCTACTAGGGCAAAAGTTGTCTGCAAGTTGGGTGACTTTCGAGGACCCAGATTCACTTACATCAGATGACCTGTAATTTGTCAAAACCATAACTTGAGCTCTGCAAATCCTATCAAGGACTTCTACCACTCAAATTAAATCTAAGAACAAGCTCTACAACATTCATGTTATGGGGAAGATGAGATGACAATCACATCTTAAGCTAAAACTGCCTGGAAGATAGGGATCAAACTAGGGGATTTTACACTGTCCATCCTTAGAAACCCTAGCTTAAAACTTCTCAAACTCCTCAATCATGATGAGTTGGTCTAGGAATCATCCTTATAACACTTCAATACATCACTCCATGATCTCATGGCTCTTGGATTAGGTCTCAACCGTCTCCAAATCTTCAGTTGACCTAGGGTTGACCCAGTCAAACCCTAATTCTACCATTCATGGTTGAATCTTCTGAATTCTTGCATAATGACCTCTCTGGGCTTCATGATGGCCTTCAAGACATCTTATAAGCTTTCTCAAAGCTTCAAGTCTATTCTCAATAGTCTCAGAATCATCTGAGGAGCTCCCACAACTCTCAAGCTATGAGGCACACAACTTTGGTTTCAACCAATTCCTCTGAGGATCTCTTGAGCTTTCTGATAAAGGTATCAACCTCCAAACACTGGATGGGTAAATAAATGTTGGTCAAATTTTGGGGTGCAACACATCTCTCCTCGGCATGTTGATGGGCAGAGGAGAACTGGCTCCTTCTGACCTTGATGGGTTGGATTTGGACTATTGGTCCGTTCTGGATGTAAGAGTGGATTGGGCCATGCCTAGTCATTGGGTCAGTCCGAAACAGTTATAACTAGCTCAATAGACTTGAATTTGTTCAGAATACAACAAACAATAACTCTTGAAAGTAGGTGTAGAATATTCCTGCTTCTGAGAGGGTGAAATTATTCCTTTAGACGACTTTAAATAAGTCTCATTTTATGTGATCAATATTGTGTCATCGTGATATACTTCAGACCGATCTTTGTCTTAGATGCAATTAGGACGCTGAGACGACTCTACACTGTCTGAGAGTGTGAATTTTCTACTCATTTTTGAAAATTTATTCACTTGTTGGACCCATTATTCTTCTGATGAAATAATTTATATGAATATATTAGACATGACATCGATGATGACTCTATCTTTTTGGCTATCTTCCTATATTCTGAAACTCAACACATTGAATTATGTTAATCTATTAGCTAAATGTTTTCTCTAGCATAATATATCTCATTCAACGAAAACGATCACGTATAATGCATAAAAAAATAGTAATATAATTTTGAATCTTAATGGTAGTAGCCACAATAATCCTGCCACCTAAAATTTTGAAGGATTGATTTGAAATACCGATGATGCTTGTGTTCACAATTTCGCAACTAATATTGATTATTCCATCTTTCGTGCTGAACTGATAGCGTTATATCATAGTTTGCATGTGCCCTGAAAATTTGACATTAAATAACTTGTGTTATTCTAACTCAAACTCTGATAACTCAAACTCTAATATTTAACATCATTATGTCGTAATTCTTCACAATATTAAAGAAAATCTCATTAAACAATGACAAATTCAAATATTTTATATTCTTATGGAAAAGAATATTTGTGTTGACTATCTAATAAATCATCGAGCAATAACGCGGTATTCAAATCTTTTGCGAAACCTTCGTAAAAATCATCACTCTCATTCTAGCGCTATTCAGACCTTTTGCGAAACCTTCGTAAAAATCGTCACTCTCATTCTAGCAGTATTCAAATCTTTTGCGAAACCTCCGTAAAAATCATCCCTCTCATTCTAGCGCTACTCTCATTCTAGCAGTATTCAAATCTTTTGCGAAACCTCCGTAAAAATCATCACTTTCATTCTAGCGCTATTCAAATCTTTTACGAAACCTTCCTAAAAATCATCACTCTCATTCTAGCGCCAGGGATATTTTATTTTCTAAAATTTTTTTTTTCATTTGTAAAAGAAAATGGTCAATTCATTACAACTGTTCATAGAATTCAAAATTTTAACAGTTGTGGTTAAAATTGACAGTATAAATATTTTTAAAATTTCTAACATATTGTCAAAGTATATCAATAAATTTTTTTTAAACTCATATACCAACACAAATAATATATTTATATATTTATCCAATTTATTAATTAAATGTACTTGTCACAACTTTTTTTTTGTACATACTTGTCACAAATTTACATTATACAATTTTGAATAGATTTGTCTCCTGCCAACCATTTCTCAGTCACGCTGCCGTACTTGAATCTCAAAGTATGTGCAGACACATTACACATTTTTGTTCTCTTAAAAGAGACAATAATAAAATTTGTATAATGTGATAAAAATACAAGTTAGAAACAAAAACATATATAAACTATAAACTTTCCCCAATAACACAACCTCTATAGTACTTTTAACAAATCAAAATTCAAAATTTGAAACCAAAAACTATAGTACTATATCTGTACAATTTATAAAAATGCTATGAAGCTATCACATAATCAAAACTAATTTCTAACAACTCACTAGAGTCAAACTAAAATCTGCAAAACAACTAGACAGAGTTATTTCTGACTTATTTCTAACTTATTTCTGACTAATGCAGTATCCTAAGATTAGAATAATCTACTGCTTCTATGAAAGGCAATGAGATCCAGAATATATGCCAGTGTGCTAAAATTTATTCCCAAATTTCTCTGCAATAATGGGGCGGACATCGTCTACATCTGCCAGTTTCTCCAGAAAAGGAAGAAGAGACATTAAGGCAGAATCAGATGGATCATCAAACCAACTCTCTATAGGAATTCCATTGTTAACTTGCAACCTGAACACCTATCATGAACAAAAGTAGGAAATTTTAACATCATTTACCCACACAGTAAATAGAGGATCAGCCAAATATAAGAAATACCTGAGGAGAGTTGTCTACTATGGCTACTTTTGCAAGGTCAATTCCAAGAACAGTCAAATCTTTGGTGTAGGTACCATCTTGAAAGATGCACGAATCTCTGTATGCTCGATGAGAAAAAATCTTTTTTTCAGGATCAAGAACATCTAGCAACTTTTCAGCATAAATCTTTTTACTAGCTGTGAAAATGATGATTTCAAACATCTTTGATACTCTCTCCAAAAACTCATGGAGGAAGGGCCTTTTTCGGACATAAACAATGTACTCCTTATCAAGTAAAATTTGAATTGTGAAGTCAGCACCACTATCATATTGTGTCATTGTAGAGTGGATCAGTGTTTCTGTAAAGGTGAATAACAACATAAGACTCTACATTTTTAGAATATGAAGGTTCAAATGAGACAAGGTTAAAAACAAATAAGATAAAGCAAAATTATAATTACCATCCAAATCAAGAACAAGGGTGACACGCTTGGTTTTCCTCGTCTCCTTGCTTACTAGAGCTGGCAACAAGTTAGACTCGTCAGATACCTCCAAGAAGTTTTTTATCATTATCTCTTGATCAGCATAATCTATTCTCTCAGAATCAATCTGACAGGACTTGACTTCAAGTTCTTCCGTGACTGGCTTGGCCTGATGGCAAATGGAATTGAACCATGAAGAATCTGGAATCTGCTCATGAACTTCTTCAGGAGACTCTACATACTGGTAATTTGGTGCTCCTATGGTGTCCTCAAACGCAGGAAGATCATACGTCATATTTGTCTCAATAAGTTCAAGATCGTTAAGGATACTATAGTAGAGACTATCATCAAATAAAGTCATCCCGTCAAAGGAAAACCCATCAAAACATGTTTGATTCATATACAAGTCCAGCGAATCAGGTGTTTGGAAATTGGAAAAGTTATTAGCATCCACTCGATCAGCTTGGGTATTGATTTCCTCCCTATTAACTACAAAGAGATCACATTCCACGCATTTGTTACAAATACAAATACACTAAAGTGAAATTAGTGTTATTTTTTTCGTATAAAAAACCTACAGTGATCTATGCATCCACTAACATTGTAAATATGTGGATTTTAGATCAACACATATAAGGATATATAAAAGGTAGGTTTTTTATCATCACAAATAAACAGTTTTTAACAAGTATGGTTTCAAGTGGGTACCTCCATCGAATAGGTTATCGTCAGGCCTGTTAAAATAAGCTAACAACGCATCTGAATCTGAGATTGCGGGAACAGAAACCGGAAAAGAATCCTGCTATAAAAACCATCATTGTGAATAATGGGAAGCAAAGAGAACATTAACACTTCACTATTTTCTTTTTTAAGAATATGCAATGGAAGTAGCCAAACTAATATGCAATGAATCAGTTTCCATTGAATAGAAAAATCCTAGCTCACAAATACGTACAACTAAATCTTAGAATAAATATCAAAAACAAAAAAGTTAATGAAACGATAGCATTGAAATAACAGCAATACTTCAAAACTAGTGATTAAAAACATAATTTTACTGCTTAATCATAAATACATATTACATGATTAAAAGAACACATTGCAGACAATATCAAGCAGATCAACTATTGCATATCAAAACTCGCATCAGAAGTCAAGCCAAATCTTCAGTTCAGTGCAAGTGGTGTCAAGTGTCAACCATTAGCATGTAAAACATAATATACCTAAAGACAAACAATCTGTGTCAATATGATCCATGAAAGGTGAGCCTTACCGTTTCTACTACTAACTCTGCACAGCCATTGAATGAGAGACGGTTCTGCCCCACAAATGTATCTATATTGGAAGACATTTGGTTTTCTTCATTGTCACCCTCCTTTGGAGATTCTTTATTTACAAAAAAACCTATATCAAACACTGGCTTTGCTTGTATTATATGAGCCTAGTAAAGTATTAAAGCTTACCATCATTACGAGATTTTTGGCCGGATAGATCTAAACTTTCCACTTCATTGGTAACTCCAACCATGGAACGCTGTCTTTTGTATACTTTATTGCATATTCTATCTGACTTATGAGACACACGAGGATACTTCCCATCTTTTTTGGGAGTGATAGGTGATTTAGCCACCATTTTAACTGCTGGCATCAACGTTAGGCTTTTGAAGAATAGTCTAACATCATTTCAATCTATTGACTGTTTGTCTGTTGCCTTATTAACCTCTAAGAAACAAAAACAAAAAGTAAGTCATACAAAACACATACACGTGAAATGAAAAAAATTGATCATACACAAACTATGCTAATCTGCATAATGTCTATATAATCATATCATCACATAGTAGTTGGCACACAATTAAATCAAATCAAGATGATTGAAAAATACATTCCATGTACAGTAGATGCATTCCAATCAGACAAAATAATACCATCCTCATTTATTTCCTAATTACACCATCTCTATCGAAGAATACCTCAAGCTTGTTAAATTGAAAGTTATGAAACTCTTCAAAATTTTCAAGATAGACATTAAGATCAAAACAATTAAGCAAATAAAATCTATATTAACATCAACAAAATCGAAAACTAAATCACAGCTATAAAAACCCCTCAAAACAATAAAGCCAATATTCAGATCCATCTTCCCCAACATCAAAAACATTCAAACAAAACAAAATCTACGTGTAACCCTAATAATTAATAAAAACATATATCATTCTGAATTCATCAATCTCCAATCTACATACATAAATCACAAAATAGTTTTTGAGATTCAACAAAATTTGCAAGTAGTGCATGTATTGAAAGTGTTCACCCCCTTGGGAGCTAAGGATATGAAGTCATAGTAACTCCTTTCCTACAACTGTTACTCATACCAATACTTTCACTCTTACCATCCCACACCATCATGCCCTAGCCCTAGAGGCCTTCATTCAACCAAGTGGGGGTGGATTGCAGTAGCAAAAAACACAAAAAAAAACTTTTTTTGTGCCCTAATTATGTTTAAAGACCGCAATTTAAAATCACAAAATGAAAACAGAGAAAACAGAAAAAACAATCCAAAAAACCAATGTTAGGGTTCACTAGGGTTTTTCATCATCATATCATATTAATTATAAAATTTAAGCATCCACAAAATTTCTAAATCTCACACAGTAAAACAAGCCATAAAACCAGACAGAACAAAAAATAAAAAAAAATAAAAAAATAAAAATAAAATTCAAAAATTCACTTTTTTCCGTTGAAGATGTCAGCTTCGATTCAACTTCCAAAATTCTTCCAACCTTTAGCTCTCCCTATCACTAAAAACACCAAAAACAAAAAATCAAAAACGTTAAAAAGAAACGTAAACCAAAATTAAGCATCAAAATTAAAATAAAATCAACTTCATAATTCAATAAAATTTCACAAAAAACATAAAATCAAAACAAGAAATGAAACTTAACGATAACCAATTACTGAAAAATATCAATAAAAAAAATCAATAAAACAAGAACTCAATTCAACGAACCACAATTCAAACAACTTCAAGTTCATAATCATAATAAAGAAAACTAAAATGAACAAAAGAATTGAAGAAAATACACACCTATGCTATCGCTGTCTCGCTCCCTCTCTCTCTCTAATTTGTTTCTCTCTCTAGAATTTCAGAGAGGTGAGTCAGAGAAGCGAAGGGGGTCAATGGAATGTTGTGTTGTTTAGTTAGAATCTCTTAATATACTCACACGAGTTTGAAACTCGAGATGAGGATCAGTTTCGACGGTGAGGATTTAACTTTATTTCAAATGAGAAACTTAACGGTTAAATATTGTGACACGTGTGTGGTTGGATCAGCAGAATGGTGAAAGATATAGGAGCTGAGAATGGCGGCGACAGATATCGAGTATAAGATTTTTATTGGGCTGTAAATTTTGTAGGCCCATTATTTATCATGGAAAGGTGAAATGAATTTTTTAAAATGCTTTATGAATGATTTTGAAATTAATTAATTTTTCATGATTTTTTTAAATTAATTATTTTATTAAAGTTTATATAGTCAAACAATAATAATATTCCTTTTGTTTTAAAATAATATCATTAAAAAATATAATAATATTATTTTAAAATATTGCACTTTTATTAAATTAGTCTAAATAATGGATTAAAAATAGTATATTAGATGACACAATTGAAAAAATATTAATTATTACTACATTGAAAAATAAAAATGACATTTATTTTTTCTAAAACAATAGTCATATTAAAACGGAAGAGTATATTTTTTAATTTTTAATTTTATTTTAGTTCTTTTTCTTTTATAAAAATATGTTTTTTTTAGAAAAATATCAGATTTTACTAAATGAATTTATTTTTTATATTTTATTAAGATATATATCCTTTTTTGAAAAGCTTTTTATATGAATTTCTTTATGGAAAATTGTGTATTTATAAAATCAATAATAAATTAAGGGGTTACTAATACTATATAGATGATTATTCAAAGAATGTAATAAATTTTTTATTTATTTTAAGTGATTTTGTTATATTTTATATGAAATATATTTTTCAAAAAGGTACATTTTAAAATTTTGTTTTTTTTTTTTAAATTATTTTTTTCCTTTTATGGTTCATTTCCGAATTTTATCTTATGGAATATAGAAAGCTTTTTCTACACAAAAAATTGTATTTTTTGTTAAGATATCTTATTTTATTTTATTTTAAAATTTTATACTCTTTTATGAAAATTTAACTTTAAAAAAAGAATAAACTATTTAAATTTATTTTTGTTTGAAAATATTTATTTTGAAAAGGTGGTAATATGTTAAAGGGTGCATTGAAACTGATTTATAAAAAAGGAGGTATTTTGATATTTTGTTTATATATTTACTTGATTTTTTTTAAATGGTATTTTGAAATGTTAAACTCTTAAAAAATAGTTTTTGATTTCCATTGTTTTATATATATATATATATATATATATATATATATATATATATATATGTGTGTGTGTGTGTGTGTGTGTGTGTGTGTGTGTGTGTGTGTGTGTGATCTTACTTGTTGATCTGAACCTTAAGTGGGCTACATAATCCATCTTTGATGTTGGAAATGAGGAGGATGTGGGTGTTCATGCAAGGCACTCCGACGCTCAAGTAAGGATCAGAGAGAGAAAAAGGGCAAGTACAAAGAGTGTTCTTAGGATTCAAGGACCATCACAGATTATGTCTCTTTATTTGAAAAATTTGTCCCGCAAGATAACTTGATTGCATCTCCTAGAAGATTCTCCGTGAAATTATTGATCTAGCAAGTGATCATATTTTCCAGAGTTTTTTATCTCAAACTTTTCAAGAGAAAGACTCGATAAGAAGAAACGAAGACCAGTTCCATGGCTAAAAAACGGGATCCATGGGAGGTTTATTTCAAAAGCAAAAACCAGTTTCATGGCTCATAGCCAGAAACGCGAGGAGGTTTTACCCTTTTTAAGTAGGATTACTTAGTTAAAGAAAATGAGTAAGCATGTTCCGACAGTAGGAACCTGTTACCATTCAAATTATCAGAATCATAGTCGTGTCCCCCCGACTGAGTTGTTATCTCCCCAATCAGTAAAGATAGTTCTTTGTTTCCCAACATGTTGCATCCTTTGTCTTAATTTGTGTTCCCCAATGGAGTTAAACCTTTCCTAACAAGTCAAGTTAATTACAGTCTCATGTGATGTCAACATCATAAGTCTCGTATCATGCATTCACTGTTAATAGTGGCATCTTATGATCCAAAATTCCAGGTATTCTGATATTTAATCCTCTTTTACCTTGAATATCTAAATGTCTTCACCATTCATGCCTTCAGGCCCAAGAAGATTAAATAGGGGCATCTGTCATACTCTAATTTTTTACCCTAAGATACCACATCATTTGCATCACATACATACATTTTTATGCATCACTAGCCCATTTTAGAAAGTCAAGATTGTTGTTTGCTTCATTATGATCACCAATTAGGGGTTTTAAGCCCTACAGAGGATTCAGACAAAGGATCAATCAAGAATTGGCATGATATTCAACTTATAAATTCCTTCAGTCATCCATGGAGATAAGGATATCTCGTTCACCAATAATGAAGGACAAGATCAAATCATTTCAAGTTGGTCAAGCCTCAAGATCATTTGTGTCACCAAATCAGAGTTTTGACATAATCTAATCCCAAGGATGACTTATGGAGCAAGACATGATTCATGACCTCAAAATATGTTTCAAGGACCTCAAGTACATCATATTAGTCCATTCACATGATTGGACTGAACCCAAGAACTTGATTCATAAACAATGCAAGAATTCAAATCCATCTGAGCCACAAACTAGAGTTTTGATGAAAAGTCAACCATATCTTTGACTTTTGATTAAGACATGATCTCAAACCTTGAGGTTTGATTTAAGGAAATAAAATATACCCTTTTAAGTCCATTCATAAGTTTAAAATCACCTTGGAGTACTCATTCATCAAAAATCAAGAATTAGGGTTTTCCTACACAAAATTCATCTGATACACAAAGCCAAAGTTTGACTTTTTGAGCAAAATTGTTCATCATAAGCCATTATACAAGAAAACATGATCCATTGTTTCATTTGAACAAGAGTTGATCAAGAAATTAAGGTTACTTACAAAAGAAGCAAAATTGGATGAATTGAAAATTTCACTAAGTTATGGAAAAAACATGATTTTTACCCAACTTCCAAAGACCATAACTTGTGATCCAAGCAACCAAGTTATTTGTTCCAAAGCTTACATGGATCTCATCACATACTATACATTTTATAACATGAACCATATCCAAAAACTTAAATGATTTCAAGTTATGAAATGATCAAAATTAAAAAAAAAATAAGAAATGAATTTCAACACTTAGGCAAATTCTGCCTAAGGTAAAATCAGTCAAAACATTCAAATGTGAAAGGATTTTTCACCATGATCCAAGATGAGTAAATCCTAACAGTGAACAACAAAGTTGAAGTACATCATCCCAAATTTCCAAAGAGCCCAAGAGCATGAGAAAACTCCACCTGAGCAAAGATCTATGAAGGTCTTAAGACACCTTGATGCAACTGTTTTGCAAGATAGTTTTGGTTATTTCTTGCTAGCTACAATTTTAGAGTCAAGTAAAATGAATACCATGCC